TCAAATAAATTAATTGATGAGTTACATAATTGTCATAAAGTTTTCAACCAGTAGTTTTATTTCAGTATGTATTTTTCCAGTAACACAAAAAATGTAATTTTATATGGTTAAAACCATCTAGCTTATGTGCACTTTTTAAAACACTGCCCAGCAAACATTCGGACGTTTAATGACAGTTGAACGGTCACAACTGTAAAATACCTGGAATTAAGAAAAATAAACATGACATCTACTGCATCTTGCTTGCCCGGACTCGAACCCTGGATCCTCCGGGCCGAAAGTCTCCCGCTCTCCCAGCTGAGCTACGCAGCAACTACTGCATAGCAGACTTTTTTATATAGATAGGTAGAGGGTAAAGTGCGGGGTAAACTAACCAATCAGAGGACAGAGAAGATCTGCCACAGGCCACGCCTCCAGAGTGCCAAAAGCCCTTACAGCCGAGCGAGCAGGAGTCAGAAACCGAGCTCGCACAGAGGCTGCCGCGCGCGCACGTTTTCCTCTGCCGTGTGCTCGTTGACAACGCGCGCACGCAGGTTTGTCACTTGTGCACATCCTTGTGCGCTCACAGACACAGTTTGCTCCCTCTCAGTGCACAAATGACCTCTCGCCATGTATATTTTCGCTCGCGAGTCCCCTCTCAGTGCACAAATGACCTCCTCGCCATGTATATTTTCGCTTGCGAGTCCCGTTCACACGCGCGCTGTGGGACCCAATCCGCGTGCACGGGTTGTGGCACGGGTCTGACGCGATAGGATGCACCCAGCATGCCTAGTGCCTACTGTACAAGCCTGTGGGGGCAGTGTTATGATCTGGGCTTGCTGCAGTTGTTCAGGTCTAAGTTCAGCAAACAGGATGTGCTCCAAGAATGAGGTCAGCAGACTACCTGAATATCCTGAATGACCAGGTTATTCCATCTTCCCTGATGGCACAGGCATAATCCAAGATGACAATGTTAGGATTCATCGGACTCAAATAGTGAAAGAGTGGTTCAGGAGCATGAGGCATCATTTTCACACATGGATTGGCCACCACGGAGTCCAGACCTTAACCTCAATATGAATCTTTGGGATGTGCTGAAGAAGGCTTTTTGCAGCGGTCAGACCTCTACCAGAGGCGAGCGCGCAGACAGGGTGGGGGACGGGGGGATCTGTCCCCCCCCCCGATTCAGATCGACCCCGATCTGCCCCCCCCCCCCCCCCCCCCCCCGCACTAAGGCCAGAAAGAAAACAAAATCGGAGGTTAAGCGCTTGAAGCTTATTTTTCCAATTACATTGAATGCAGCATGACGTAAACAAACTCCGACTCCAGAGGAGCCAAAGTGTTTGCTGCTAGGATGCAGATGAAGCGAAAAAGGCCAGCAACGATATTTAAAAAAAGACCAACAGTGTAAGTAGGTGGGTTTATGCGTGTTGGTTCTAGTTTCAGTTCGTTGTTGTCAGTGTTGGACTTACTCGTTATAAGGGCCAAAGCCTCATTGCTGACTTTAACAAGTCTCATCTACAAATATGATCCTCATGAAGTTACTACTTTACACCAGAAGATAGTGGAGATGTGGAACCTTCAGGCTGAGCAAAGTTTGGGAGTTTTTTAGAGTTTGAAAATCTGCCTCCCGCCGCCGAGAGGCTCCCAGTCGGGGAGGAGGAGGAGATGCGCGCAACATGAAGAGCGCAAATATGAGATAAAACGTGTAATTGCCGGCAGGTCTGGTCTTTGTTGGCTGATCGCTTTGTCTGCTAATGACTGACTCTGATTATGAAGCAGAATATTGACTATGATGAAGAAATTCACTCATCCAGCCGGGAAGATTGACGCTGCTGCAGCATCAGACAGCTGGTGCTGCACGAGAGGTGTGTGGAGTTTACGAGCTCCAAACGTTGGGTTTGATGTTGGTTTAACCTTCTCTGGGACGTGATGGATGTAGAAGCTATGGTAAAACACCGCTAACGTGACAGACGTAGCGACAATGTAAAAAAAATAAAGCCGTAAAAAGGAGCAGATGCTGATGCGTTATATATGGAAGTCAAGGTGTGCCACATAATCATAAAAAAAAGTAAAATATACAATTTCTAAAGAGATTTCTATATTTATAAATAAATTAAAACTTTCCAAATATAATGAAAATTTCTAAATAACGTAAAAATACGAAGGAACATCTGTTGGTCAGGCTGAAAAGTTTGGGAACTACTGCTCTAAGTAATAAGTCAATTTTATTTTTTAAATATATTTTATGTGCAGTTTTTAGGGTTTTTATGTTTTCTCTAAAGATCGGTATGCTGAAAATCATTTAATGTTTTGCATAAAGCATGAGGTTTTAGTTAGTAATTGATTGGGAGAATAACAAATGACTGATTTAAATAGTAGGGCGCCTCTGTCAGTGTGCCCCAGGGCAGCTGTGGCTACATCGTAGCTCGTCACCATCAGTGTGTGAATGTGTGTGTGAATGGATTAATGATACACTGTAGTGTAAGCTCTTTTTTTTTTTTTACTTTAACTTGACTCACTTTGACCATCATCCACAGACTTTTTGAATTCTCAATTGAAAGCACAAGCCATCAAAATCATGAAAAGGACCCAACTAACTATCTACAGGGACAAAAAAGCCAACCTGCTTTCCATACACCTCGTTCTCTCTTTTAGAGGTTATCTGACACTTATGGGCATTTTCATTTCTAAAGGGATAAAACCGCTGTCCACTTGCATCCTATCTTATTACAGTTGGAAACTTGCACTTTTCATTTGAATCTTTTTGTTGACCTGCCCTGTCCTGGCAGTTGAAGCATACAGAACGGTTGATCTGGGCGCCACAGCATGCCTGCATGCTCCGTTTTACTCTGCAGCAAGAGGGATGTGGGATATTCCTCCTGTTGCAAAGTAGTCTTTATTAAGTTTGTGGCATGTTAGAACGCGTTCGCTTACACACCAGAGTGGACAGGCAGGACAAACAGAGACGCACAACAAAAACAAGAGAGGGAGAGGAGAATCTTAAAAGACTGGATGTGAAGCAAAACATTTATGAGAAAGGAAGAAAGTCCAGTTGTTTTACTTTCAGAAGCTACGAGGGTTGCCAACGACTCAGAGCATTTTAGACCATATAAGATGGTTTTAAACTCTCACCAAACAGCGTTGTTTGTATCTCCTGAAGGTGTTTTCTCAGCACCCGTATGCCGAGCAGTACATCGGTAGACCTCATGTGATGACAGTGGACTACAACAACTCCTTTGAGTTTGATTCTGCGATTCAGGAAATCATGAAGATCAAGGTATTTTCAAACAGACACACACGCACACATACATGCATGGATGCACACACACACACACACACACACACACACACACACACACACACACACTGGAAGCTGCAATTTGCAAATCTCCAAAACAAGCTACTAGCTTGCCGAGCCTCTTAACAACATTCTAACATACTTATAAAAAATACTATGGAGGTTAAATTAAAACACAAAAAGTAAGGAAGTGGTTCACTCGCATTTGTCTAAAATCCTCAGCCAATCACATGGCCCGGTCCAAAACCACCTATTGGACTATCCAGTTACCTGTCTCACTGAACCATAGCACTTCTCCATTTATTAAAATGTCAATCGTGTGCATGCCAGTGCCACTTTCCCATTTCAGATCTTAGATCAGGCTGAAAGGTTGAAATGCTACAACATATTAAGTTGTCGTTTATTACAGAAATGTCCGTGTTTTGCACTAACAACATGCGTACAAGAAGAGAAAAACAAAACAAGCAGAGACGAGCCTCATGTGTGAAATCCCAGCAGAACATAGTGTAGACATATATTTTTAGAAAAATGCACAACAACATGCATTTGTCAAAAACATCATATTTGCTAGCTGCATGTGCCAAGAACACTTGGGAATATTTCATTGATTTTGAAGGAAGCTAAGTCAGAAAGAGAAGCTCTTGAATTATTGTTCAAGCTATGGCTCAACTCTTACCTACAGCGGTGTGCTTTGGCAAAAACTAAAACAGGAACAAGATTGCAAATACAAGATTCCACAATGAGGTTCCTCTTCAGGGCATGGACGTCATTTTCACTTTAGAAGTGGGAGGGGGGGGGGGGGGGCACGGGGGGTCTTTACAGTATGCTCTAATGGGAAACAGGCTTCAACACAAACGGTTGTTTTCCGCTTGGTCCTAGAGCTCAACCAGTGTCTATGTAATATAGCGTAATATTGTTTTTGGATGGTAAAACGTGCAGGGGTCAAAACTTGACTTTGGAAAAAGTGGGGGGACATGTCACCCCTGTCCCCCCCCCCCCCCAAAAAAAATTACGTCCATGCTTCAGGGCGACCAGACTTAATGACGCAGCTCTAAGCTCTGACATCTGGGAGGGACCCGCTGCTCTCCTTCATCAGGAAGAGCCAGCGGAGGTGGTTTAGGCACTTTGACCTTACTGGTGAGGTGTTTTAGGCATGTCCTGCTAGCAGGAGGCCCCAGGGTAAACCCAGGACATGCTAGAGGGAAATATGACCCTGTGAACATCTACCAGAGGAGAGGTTGCTTGGGGAGGGGATGGTGTGGACTTCCCTACTTTGACAGCTGATCTTTTGACCCAGACTCGGATAGATGAAGGATGACTGACAATGTGTTGTAAGGAAAATAAATATCTAAGCAAACACAAGCTGAACTATACCACCAAAGCCCAACATCCTGGTACTGTGGGTTGGGTTTACAGAAGTCACCACTTAGTGTGAAAACACACATTTTCTTCTAGCAGAAAAGCTATAATACAATACTCAACCTTTGGGCTCTGAACTTAATTAATGCTTCCTATTTAGCTGGAACTGTTCTGCAGCTTTGCTGCGAAGGAGTTCTCCAACCTTCCAAGGTTTGTAGGTAGGAGGCAAATGTTTTAAAGTGCAAGAAATGCAGAAAATGTGAGCTAATAGAGAAACAGAGAATGTCAGCAGCTGCCAAGAGCTGGAGAGAGGTTAATTGAGGAGTTAGCTGGGTAAAGGAAATCTTTCTGGGAAGCACCAAACCGATGGAGGAAACTTGGGGAAAAGAAAAGAGATGTGAAGATATGAAAAGGAAGGAAGTTCAGGACAGGGTTGAGTTTGGGACTTCACAGAAGCTTTTAGCTCTCACCAAAATAGACCAATGGGCTCGCTGGAAACCAGGAGATAAATAATAGTGATGTGTCGGTCGTGAACGAGCCGGCTCTAAGAGCCGGCTCTTTGAAGTGAATGACGGGAGCCCGCTCGTCATTGGGAGCCGTCCCCTCCCCTTTTGCTTTGGTGAAAGCTACAGGCGATTGGTCAACATGTGTAACTGCGTGTCCAGACTGTCCACACACAGAGCAGAAGGGGCGGGGAAGAGGGAGGATCAGACTCAGACAGACACACAGCAGAGCACATGTGGGAGGAGGGAGACGAGAGGGAATGAGGAGGAGGAAAAAGACGAGCGAGAGAGAGGAGAGTGCGACGAAGACGGTGAGAAAATGAGCGCCAGCATTCGGAAAGTGGAGATTTCTGAAAGTGTTCAGTTATTAAACCCAAAGAAATGATAAATATTTGATATATAGCATTTTTTTACATTAGTAAATCATTTTACATATAGTTTAGCATTATTTTGGTTATAAATAAACTCTACGCAACAGAAAATCTGAGGAGCCACTTGAGAGCCGAAAGAGCCGGCTCTTTTTGGTGAGCTGAGCCAAAAGAACCAGCTCTCTAAAAAGCGCCGGAATTCCCATCACTACAAAATAAATGTTTGGAAAAGCTGAGGGTAATCTTGGTGAGACAATAAACTGCTGTGTCCAAAGTAGGAAGCTGGTGATTTGAGGTAATGGGATGAGAACAGAACTTCATTTGAGATCATAAAATGCGATCAGTTTAAAGTTGAAGGGATTGTCTTTACTGCGTTTGTTACTGTCTGTCCGTCCGTCTGTAAACGTTCTGTCTGAGGGTCAGAACCGAATCAGAGACTAAACTGTGGGTGATGTGCAGCACAGGCTTCTTCTTCACAAGTGGATGTTCTTGCTTCATCTCGTCTGTGTTGTTAGTTAAGCTGGAGTCCAGCAGCTCCGACTGAAGGCTCTGTCTCTGTTTTCGTCTCCCCTGAGAAAAGGTTGATGGACCACTTCACACTCCACTGGAGCCACACACACACACACACACACACACACACACACACACACACACAGTCCTACCTGCACATCACAGCCATTAATGTCAACACACACACCAACACACTATGTGATGTAGAGGTTCATGTTCAGTCATGCAGGACAAAGCAATCTCTGGCTGACAAATCCTCATATTCCACTAGATGTATTCTCTTTTGTTTTTTTTTTCCACTTCCTTTTTAATTTTCTTTCTTTCTTGACTTTGTTCCTTTATTTTATTTATTTACACTTTTTACTTTTCTTGATTTCCCTTTTTTCTTTCCTTTTCCTTTTGTTTCCTTTCTTTTTCTTTTCTTGATTCACTTTTCTGCACCGCGTCCTTTCTTCCTTCTTCTGTCCTCCCTTTCTTCTTTCATTTTTTCTTCCAGCCATCTGTCCATCTTTCTTTCCTAACATTCTTTTATCTTTATTGCTTCAGTTTTTCCTTCATTCCTTTTTTTCGTGACCATAAATGACATGTTTTCTCTCTTCTGTCCCTTCCACCTACATTTTGAGGTGTGTTTCTGTGGAGAGGTGAGCAATATCTATTATCTTACCGGCTGTAGATAGCTCTTTAAAAAAACCTCAGTGTTGAGAAAAATAATCTAGTGCAGATGAGACTGACAAGCTAACGGCTAGTCACAGTGGGGTTAAGGCCAAAGTGGATTTCTGTTCACTCCCAAACGTGCTAACTAGTTCAAAAACACTTTAAGTGCCACCAGTTTTTCTGAACCACATTTTATTTTATTTTATTTTATTTTCTACAATACGATACAATATAATACAATGCAATACAATACTATACGATACAATACAATACAATACCATACTATACGATACAATACGATACAATACGATACGATACGATGCGATGCGATACGATACAATACTTTACGGTGCGATACAATACAATACGATACAATACTTTACGATACGATACAATACAATACTATATGATACAATACAATACTATACAATACAATACATACAATGCAATACTATACTATACGATATAATACAATACAATACAATACAGTACAATACTATACTATACGATACAATACAATTCAATACCATACAATACTATACGATACAATACAATACAATACTATACTATACGATACAATACGATGCGATACAATACTTTACGATACGATGCACTACAATATGATACAATACTTTACGATACGATGCAATACAATACTATATGATACAATACATACAATGCAATACTATACTATACAATATAATACAATACAATACAGTACTATACGATACAGTACAATACAATACAATACTGGTGCCTACTCTGGTGCCTATCTCCAGCAGTCAACGGGCAATTAGGCGGGGTACACCCTGGACAGAGAGCCAGTCCATCGCAGGGCAACACAGAGACACAGAGCACAAACAACCATGCACACACACACTCACACCTAAGGACAATTTAGACAGACCAACCAACCTAACAGTCATTTTTTAGGACTGTGGGAGGAAGCCAGAGAACCCACGCATGCACAGGGAGAACATGCAAACTCCATGCAGAAAGATCCCAGGCCGGGAATCGAACCCAGGACCTTCTCGCTGCAAGGCAACAGCTCTAACCACTGCGTCACTGCGCAGCCCACAATACAATACAATGCAATACAATACGATACAATACAATACGATACAATACAATACGATACAATACAATACGATACAATACAATACGATACAATACAATACAATACGATACAATACAATACAATACGATACAATACGATACAATACAATACGATACAATACAATACAATACGATACAATACAATACAATACGATACAATACAATACAATACAATACGATACAATGCAATACAATAGAAAATTCATTTAGTGTCCTGCAGGGGGACATTAGGGTGTCACAGCAGCAATCACATTTAAAAACATGAGCAAAGAAGAACAAAAATAAACAACTAATCCATACATTCAATCAAAAAACATAAAAATACAGAAAAAAGAAACAAATACACAACATATCTAAAGATATTTTAAAATGTTAAAACTATGTGTGAAAAGCTGCTGAGACTTTATGCCTGCACAAGCGACATCAGAATTAACAAAAATAAATTGTGAACATTAAAAGAAGCCTTATACTGCAGTGATTATATTTACATTTTATCAGCCATACATGTACAGCGTGCACCATTCATACAGCTCTGATTGTGTCACTGTGCACTGAATAAGTGTTTTTAGTGCAGAACAAAAAAGATGTACAGCCTTTCAAGCATGTGGCTAATTAGGGCAATCAAACGTGTTCTTTAGTTATAAAGCTGCGCATCACAGGAGGAGATGATCTATTGGTATGCAAATAAAGCCTAATGAATAACCAAGCTCTGACACACTGATTAGGCTTCACAAAAGCCTGCAATGAAAACCTTCATCTGCTAGAATTAACCAGGAGAAGCAGTGATTTATTATAATTAACATGAACATTGAGCAGAAGCCTAGAATAAAATACGCTTAAATATAAGAAAAGTGTCACAATAATGACAATGACTGTGATTTCCAGGTGGAGCCTTACCTGCCTTATGAGTACACGTGTGAAGGGATGCTGGAGCGAGTGCACGCCTACATACAGAACCAGGTGGGTCCTGCAGATGTCCCACACACACCTCTCATTTACCTCACACATTTAGGTTTTTCTGAAGCTGTTCTGTCTAATTTAATCATTATTCATCACCTAAGGTATTGTGTGTTGCAGTTTTCGTGCACGTGTTGCGGTCAGTCTTCATTTTAGTCACGATTAAGTTGTCCAATTTGTTTTGATTTTAGTTTTATTTTCGTTGACCAAAATATATGAAATATATATTAAAAATAATTATCATATATATATATATGTGTGTGTGTGTGTGTGTGTGTGTGTGTGTGTGTGTGTGTGTGTGTGTGTGTGTGTGTGTGTGTGATTTTTTTCTTCTGACACAATAATTTTCAACTTCTATAAAGAAAATGTTAACGGCACCTTCTTGAAATTGTAGAGCAATATGAAATAAATAACATTTTGCACTTTAAATCAATAAAACTCTATGTTCATAATTGTTTTAATAACAACATAAGTATTGGAAAAGGCCTATATAAACACTGACAGTTTGAAATTGTGCCTCTCAATAATAATAAAGTAAACAAATCTGTTTTATATGCAGTAATATTTGCAAACATGACAGGAAATGACATCATACCATCAAAGCATTAAAAGGTGTTACTCTAAATGACTGTGCTCATGTGCAATAAAATCGATTGCAGTCAACTGCACAATTCTCCTATGTTTTTCTTTTTCTTAACTGAAATGTATTCATCACTTGTATAGGTTAAATAGCTAAACAATAACACACTGATTAATCGATTAATCGAAAAAATAATCGACAGATTAATCGATAATGAAAATAATCGTTAGTTGCAGCCCTAACTCTAATAATGTAAACTACAGGTAAGGAATGTTTTCAGGTGTATTTATTAAGGTTTTACCTGCACTAGGTTACCAAGGTGGGCTGCCTGAATGTGTTTTCTTGCTAGAACCTCGAACGCCAATAACATCAACCGTAGCAGCGCCACGAAAACGATTCAACAACCAGATGAGCTCCGTCTGCTCACTTTGGTTTGGAAAATGTTGATCGATGTTCATCCTAATTAGTTTTTTACTGAAATACATATGCAAGTTTTTGTTTAGTTTCCATTGCAACAATTACCAAAAAATGAACGTAAAATGTTTGTCAACGAAATGAAATCTGGTTGCTGTGCTCCTTGCATGTTAGCTCTAACTGAGCTGCTCTCTGGCTTTGAAGCAGACAGTCCTCTGACACTAATGAGGAGGGCTGAGCAACGAAAGTGTGGGATGATGATAATTATGGTAATAAGAGCTAATTCCTTCCTGTGTTTTTAACAATCAGACAGCAGAAGTCTCCAGAATAAGACCTGGTATGGACACAGCGTTAGCTTCAGCTCAGTCCCTGTGCAGATTAGCTTGTTTAAGGAGTGAAAACAGCCCATTCTAGATTTTTATCCTTTTTTCAAATCCTTGTTCAAGTACAGCAAAGGAACGTTTTCTCGTGCATTTTTAGATCTCAGTCATATTCACATGGGATGGAACAAATTGAAATCAATAAAGCAGTGAAACATCCGATCTGAGCCTCTGCTGCCGGGTTTCCTGCAGAAAAACACATTTCCACAGATCTCCCTGCCGTTTTTACATTTTTGACCATTTGCAAAAGGCACTTTTACTAGGTTTACTGGAGGACCTGGCTTATGTTTAAAACCTGCTGTTGCATCAGTCTGAAGAATTAAGACAAATAAAACTGCATTTATCCCACATTAACAACATTTTGCACATAACTAAAGTACGTGCTACGAATATCTGCCGGCACATTATTGACTGACTACTGCCAGTGTCTAACGCTGCTGTGACTGCTGGTGTTTTGATGCATGAGAAATGATGGGAGAAAAAATAACTTTTTGAGTCTAAATCAGACCAAACATCGCTTTTTCAATAAGTCGGGTAGAGCACATGATGTAAATACTGACTAACAGCAACTGTTATGCAATTTGTTTCTAGTAAATGACTCCCTAAAAGATTTAATTGCATCTGTACTTTTTGTAAAAATCCTGTTTTTTATTCACTATCAGGTCACATTGTAACATCATCTCACATTTCTTGCACTTCCTGTCTCACTGACAGAGTTGCACAAGTGTTCTGTATGCATGTAACAACTCTGATGGATGGTTGGTGTGTTGTTAGAAAACGTCTTCCAAACATCAAGTCTAAAATCCAAAGGCCAGTGTCATTGAGTGGTAAATTATCTGTTTTCTGGAACAAACATTTTTCCACGTCTGTCGGGAAAGTTTCTACTGTACAACCTAATTTTATCACATCTTCTTCCAGGATTTCTGTGTGCCCGAGCCTCCCTTCATTCCAACCAACCTCTCCTTGCCCAGATCTGCTTCTGGCAGCAGGATGCTTGGACCTCTGTTTGTACCCCTTCCCAACTCCACAGCTCTTGGCTGGGCACCCAACATGATGGCCCCCGCTGCCTGGCCTCCTCTTAGCTCCCTCAGACTGCTCGTGTCTCAGGAGGGCCATTCTTGCGTGGAAGCCTGCCATTCAGCTGGCTTCGTCTGTGAACCTGCTCACTTCCGCTTCATTAACAACAAGGAGGCTCTAAGAGGGTGGGTCAAACTCAAGAATCACAAAGCCATGAAGCTGCACACTAATTTGTTGTGTGCAAGCTTGATTTGAATCTGGCTGGCACAAATGTGCTGAACAGTCCCACACCATGGTTGCTTCTTCTACACTGAGCCACTGTAACAAATGCAACCTGGAGAGCAGCCAGGTTAATTCCATAATACCTCGGTCACCTCTGAGTTTGGTGATTCACGCCCAACTTACCCTAACACAACGTGGTCATATCTCATCTGGTTATAAACTTTCGTCGACCCTGCACCTGTTAAACAGGTGGTTATTAGTAATGCACACTATAAACACTAGGGATGAGCCGGATACTCGTTTCAGATGAGTATCCGGTACGGATAAAGCAGTTTTGACGAATACGAGCATGAGACGAGTAAACCTCGTAAATATCTGTAATCGTGCTGAAGGAAAATCCTCATTGGGTAACTGACTGTCTTCACGCTCTGTGATTGGCCAGTCACATAGAGCTCCCGCCCCTCCCTACACACAAAACTCTCTAGCCGGCCGGGAGCGCAGTCTGTCTGGCTCATCCACGCACACACACACACACACACACACACACACACACACACACACACACACACAGTAACGGATCTTGCTGTGATTGCTTCACTGTTGCTCACGTTTCTTCAGTACTCCCTAGGTTTTCTTCAGCTCGTCTATTTTTCAGTTGAATATTTAAAGTTACTTTTTTCGTAACTTACTGTACATGGTGCATTTGACAAGACAGAGCTGACGTGCTGCATTAACTCTACCTCCGCTCCGGTCAGGTTTTTTATTTTTTTAACTCCATCTCTCTCCCTCTCACCCTCTCTATCTCTCTCACACACACACACCTTAATCAACATTGTTTTGTTTAACTTTGTGTGGGGCAAAATGCCAAGAATGTTAAGAAAAAAAGTCAGTTTAATCAAATTAAAATAATATATATATATATATATATATATATATATATATATATATATATATATATATATATATATATATATATATATATATAAGTTGTGTCTGGTTCTAGTATTTCATATTTCCTAGTTCCTACTGCATGAGTTCAGATGTATTAATCCATGCACTTAAATATTGATGTTCTGATTTTATTGAAAAACTTGTTCTGTAATAGTTTCTTTACTATCGTGATCAAAAATATTTTATCTCAATTCTGAGGCTGCTCTGTAAATAGTTTTCAAATGAACAATACACATAGCAACTTCCGATCAGTCCATATCAATTTCAGACTTAAAATAATATATTGATGTAAACCACACCCACTTCCGGTTAAACCACGCCCACCTCCGGGTTATGCCACGCCCATTCCGAGTACGGATACTGATACAGATAGTGGTGTACTCGCTCATCCCTAATAAACACTATAAGATATGATCTGTATGATTTTGGCCTGTGACAAAGAATGATTTAGTACCGGTGTCAGTACAAGATCGGCTCGGGGTCCTTCGACTGCCGATGACGTCAAAGTACGGCAAACCCACTCGGACAAAATACACTACACATCTATACTGTTGGAAAGAATTTAGCAGTTTCGTTATTAAAATAATGTTTCTTAAGACGTAAGTCTGTGTTTATAATATTATTTGTAAAATAAAACACTATATTTTATTCATAATGTTGAACTCCTCTTTGAGCACATCCCTTGAAGGATCATAGGTATTAGCAACACCTGTGAAATTGTATTTGCAGGAAAGAAGTGTGTCCCATTTATTGAAGTATTTTGTGTTTAGAGTTTTTGACGTCTTGTCATAGACTGTAGCTGCTAGCCAAAACTCTGGAGTTAAAAGTTTTCTGGCTTTACTAAAATATCTGTCTGTATTTACTTGATTGATGGTAGTTTCACTTTCTATTAGACTCCAAATGTAATCATTTGGCGCGTTTCTAATTCATAATTTGTAATAATGTAATCGGCGATATTAACATTAGCATTCCTATGGGTTTTTCCATGTATATTAGCATTGCGCTAACCACTCGCTGCCACATTGCAGCCTTTGCGATTAGAAAATCTCCTTTTGTCACATCGCAATTTAATTGCACATGCAGTTAATCGTTCAGCCCTAATATACATGCAGCTCTATGCTAAAAGTGTATTTTCAAAGAGGTAGTGATGGATTTCTTTGTAAAAGTTGTCCATCTTTCCAACAGAAAGATTTGCCTGGACCAACGTAACGTGATTGCGTAATTCCATAAGGTTCATGTTCAGCCAATCAACTACTTAGACGTCATCGGCAGTCGACGGACCCCGAGCCAATTTTGCACCCGAGCAGATCTTGTACCGACACCGGCTACCCGGTTGCGCTTGCTGATGACGTCATCGAGGAGTGCGACAGTTTAGAGTTTCAACACAGCGACATGGCTGGGAGTACAGCCAGGTTTGCACGAATGTTTTTAATCTGCATCGGCTTTGGACAAAACGCAGCAGCTGCTGCTGAGCAGAGCGTATGGATGGAGACGTGCTTGTCGAGAGCATGGGGTTACGTCAGTTACCCGAACCTGGTCGTATCAGCATTAACAGCTCGTTTACACCAAATCCCTCTAATCAATTTTCCCTCACAGACCTGCCCAGTTTCAGCTGTTTGTGCTATTAAATGAAAAAGATCTAATCTGAAACCGGCTCCTCGCTCACTCTGTGCCGCTGGAGCAAACCACGGTGCGTCAGACCGCCACGGATCATCTGATCTGAGTGCAGTTCAACAAAAAAGTTAAAGAAATTGGATAAACCAACCTTATTGTCATAATTTTGACCAAAAATAAAAATGCATCTTTTTACCTGCAGTTGTTCACCCCTGAAGTAAAACTAAACTTCTATGAGCAAAAAATAAAAAAAATGAATAATTTATCAGGAAAGCAGAAAGAAATGGTGTGTGTTTTTCACTTTTCACTTTAGTTTAAATAATTTAGAATTTAGTGTTTTCATCACATTGAACTTGTATTTTATTTAAAATATCTTCATCTTTATTCATTCTGTGATATTTTTTGTTTGTATTCTTTGGAAAAAGAACCTTAACTTAAAAACAATTTCAGATATTTTGTATTTATTTAAATATGTTTAGAAATTTTTATGTAATTTTGACCAATAATTGATACTGAAAAGTATTCTATATATATATTTTTTTTCAATTATTTCTTCTGCAATATATCTGGTATGTGTAGGGATGGGTACCTTTGACATTTGAATCGATTCGGTACTAATTCCCGGTACCTAGGAATCGATACCGGTACTTAACGGTACCAATTTTCGATACTTTTGAGTGTTTATTATTTTAATTCTCTTTTATAATTAAATATATATTTTTCTCAATATATAACAATATTTGATAAATATCACGATAAATAACATTCAACTGTTTATATTTTAACATCATCCTTGTAGTTTTATAAGCTGATAATTAAACTGAAGCAAACATCTTTACTGTGAACTAAATTTACTGTGTATCTTCATTCCTTTTGCCGTCCTTTTTCATTTGATTTTTCCTACTGGGAAGTTAGAATTTCCGAGGAGAAAGCGAACGCACCATTAGCTGATAACAATGGTAGCAATGGAAGCTAACATATAAAGCTAACGTTATCTTAAACAGTTTATTTAGCTGCTGGAGCAGATTAAAACGATGATGCCTCACACTTAGATCGTTGTCACTGGTTTCATCTTCACCCAATCACCCGTCGCATTTAGTAAAGTAAAGCCAAACTTTAGAGCGCGTTCATGTTCTTCTAGTCGGGAATTCGGAGTTCCGAGGAGAAAGCGAACGCACCATTAGCGAAACGGAAGCTAACATATCAAGCTAATTATATTTACCTACCAGAGCAGATTAAGATGAGGATGTCTCACTTAGATCGTTGTCGCTGGTTTCATCATCACCCAGTTACCCATCACATTTAGTGAAGTGGACCCAAGCTTTAGCGTGCGTTCTTTCTACCATGCTGCTCTGTTTACAACTCGCTCGCAGCGAGCGACGACAAAACGCTCTTGCGCATGCGCAGCTGTCTAGGCAAGTTCTCGTTATGAAGGACGGGTACCGAAACGAGGCACCGTTTGAAATGACGTGAATCGGTGCTCGGTCGGTACTGTGGAATTCGGTCGGTACCTTAAAAAGTACCGAATTCGGTACCCATCCCTAGGTATGTGAGATTGTTTTTACATGTATAAACAAAAGAAAATAATATATTGCGATCTATATCGATATTAGCCTGGCCTGCCAGTCTCGTCCTCTGTCTTCACATAGAACTAGTCACAGGCAGAGAGGCAGATGAGGGGCAGGACTAGCCAGCTCAAAAATAACCAATCAGAAAAAGGTGGAAATGCTGGCTATAGCATGCAACGCTGTCGTTTTTAAGCTGTAGTCAAAAATGGCGTCGGGCGATAGCGCGAGCATCTTTTTTTTTTAAGAAGAAAGGTTTTAGCGCTTCTACTTGTTGTGGTTTTAAAACCATTTTTCAAGTCATTTAGAACAGAGGAAAGAGCCGCAGCCAACTCCGCTTCAGTCGCCATGTTTATGAGAAACTCGCTGTTGCGGTGTGTGAGACGGTCGCTGCTCAGCGCTGATTTGCTCGGTTAGAATTTTCAAGGGGCAGGGTTATTTCAATAGGACAGTTGAATTGGAGAGAGGCTGACTCGTCAGGCTATATCGTTACGGCATGTGCTTCAAACTTTATTGCGATATAGATTTTAGGCCACATCGCCCATTCCTAGCGGTTAATATTGATAGACCAATCACAATGAAGTTAGAAGGAAGTTCTCCTAACACAGGAGTGGGGAACCCTGGTCCTCAAGGGCCGGTATCCTGCACGTCTTTGCTCCAACACTTCTGATTCAGCGGTTGATTCACCTGTTCAGCAGCTCATCAGGCTCTGCAGAAGCCTGTTAATCACCTGCTGATTGAAATCAGGCGTGTTGAAGCAGGGTTGAAACTAAAATATGCTGGATAGCGGCCCTCGACGGACCAGGGTTCCTCACCCCTGTCCTAACACATAACTGTCCCTCTTCTACACAAATTCAAATGAATTGGTTTGAATAGTTTTGATAAATTAATGATCTGCAGATTGAAACAACCAATCCCTAATGTTGTCATGCTCCACGTTTCATAAAAATCAGATATCTTGATCGTTAGAAACTGTGTGTTGTCTTCAGTGACCTCTAATCCAGAAAACGAACCTGATCAGGTCTGGTTTCCAGCATCAGCTGCTGCAGTAACAGACCCAGATAAGAAGTGAACCAGTTTGGTGATACCAAAAATTACACAAAGAACCAGGATTTACCTCGCCAAGCCTCTTATCCTGCTCCATAGTTTAGCTCCTGGTATAAACAAATGTCTCTGCTAAAAAGCTTTTCTTTCAAAAGAGGCACAAAATTCTAGTATTTTCATGCTCTGAGACTGAAAAGCTGTCGGTGTTTGAGTGTTCTCTCCTAAAACTCTCCTCCTAAATTCAATAGCTTCAGATTTTTTGTGTGTTCAAAATATTTTACCATATTTTATAGCTCCGCTCTTGATTTCTTTGTCTGTTCTTTTGCTCGTTGTTGCTGCTCAGGTCTGTTTTCCTTTTGCCTTTCTTACTTTGCCTAAAGTTTTACAAACTTCTTTATTATACAAACTCCCCAGTCCTCTTTTTAAAAGTCGGCTCTAATTTGATGAGATCTCTGCTTTCTAACGTGAAAAAGTACTTCCATGTTGTACTTTTAAAGTGCGAGCTTTTCTCATTCCCCTTTTCTGTGTTTTATATTCCAGTTTGGAGGTGCAGTGTGAGGTCGTGGATTCTGAGATCAACCACGTCCTCCCAGCCTTCTCTGTGATGCGACGGGAGTGTGGCCTCCAGCGGGAACCTCTACTCTTCAGCTGTGCGGGGTACTCCCCTAAATACAGACGTCTCTGCCCCTGCAGGGACTTTCGCCCCGAGCAGGTGGCGCTTTGCAGAGACTGCCTATAACGACAGGACATGACAAGGAAGAACACAAATGAAATCAATGCTGATTTTGAAGGACTTTGAAGAACTTTTCCTGAAAAGCTGCTGGGTTTTAGATAACCATATTTTATATGACAGGGTTCCTACAAAATACCTGGAATGGAAAGTACTTAGACAAGAGCAAACTCCAAACATAAGCCCCAACATTAGCACCACCGTGATATTTACAAAACTTACTGTTCTGGAAATGCAGCTCCACAATGCTGGGAAGGTGGCATCAAAGGTGACAGCTTTAGGTCAGAATCCAACCTCCTCTCAGAGCTTGGACAAAAGGATGATGGACACCAAGGATAGCTCTTCTTCTGTTTGTCCCCTTTTGCAGTGATGGATATTTCTCATAACGTAACCCGTGTGAGGCAGTCGACTTTGAGAAGAAAAGGGCAGGTCACCAGATTATTTTTCAATAAAGACTTCAAAACTCTCAGCTGGATTTTTTAAATTGATCTTTAGGTTTTGTGATGGAAAATAAAAGGGGAAAAATCAGTGGTTCAAAGTGTGTGAGGTGTTGTTATTCCTTTATTACTGATCTTCTGCTACTTCGCTCACCTCATGCCTGGTGTCTCCCCGTTTTGGTTCAGCCTTGTGTCTCGTTAATTGCTCCCACCTGCCTCTCGTTTCAATCACCTTAGCTCCCTGCCCTCGTGTATTTAAGCCCCTTCTGTTCTGTGTCTTGTGTCGGTCCATTGTTTCATTGCCATGCGTGTTTCTCATTAAATCCTGTCAGAACTCAAGTCCCCAAACCAGTCTCTCCCAGCTAGACGGCCTCCACCATGGACCACAATTCCCAGCATGCCCCTCGCGGGGATTCCCTCCACGTCGCACCTACGCCATGAACCGCGCCTATATACGGAAGTCGTCTCCCCAGCTCATCACTCAGTCATCCTGTCAGACTGATCGGCTGGGGTCGGGAGCTGAGCTTGTTGAGAGCAAGGTTTCACAGACGCGGAAGTGAGAGCGCCGGTGAAATGCTGACTCACGATTTAATCTACACTGAAAAAAGAGAATAGTTTAATCAACCTAATTGAATTGCTTCAATTGGTAACACGCAATTTAATTAAATTTATCCATTCTAAATTATTAAAATTGTACTAATAATTTAAGTTGGATAAACTTAATTAAATTGCTTGTTACCAATTGAAGCAATTGTTTAAGTTGGACCAATGTTTTCTTTTTACAGTGTAGGAATGCCCGAGCGTTCGAGCGTCAACGAAGTGACACGGAAGTGCTGGGTTTTCCAGAAGTAAGTAAGACCACTTACTGTGAGCAGAGAGTTCATGAGATGGATCGGTAGATAGGTAACTCTGATCATGGATTCGAAGAAACGATGACTGAGTGATGAGCTGGGGAGACGACTTCCGTATATAGGCGCGGTTCATGACGTAGGGGCGACGTGGAGGGAATCCCCGCGAGGGGCATGCTTGCTTCCACCTCATCAGCCTTCATGCATCACACCTGGTCCCCTCACCAAGCTCATGCCACACACCTGCCTCACCAGCTATATATTCCACAGTCAACCACCAGCACTCTGCCAGATTATTGAACGCGCCTGCCAGTAGATCTTCGAGCCTTTTCATCCTGCCTGATCATCGCTAAGAACTTTGCCTGCCTCCATGACCTACGCCTGACCACGACCACGTCCTGAACCTGCCTTGTTCTGATGCACGCCTGTCTTCGACCACGTTTCTCGTCTGCTCCTCGTTTCTGCTTCGTCTCAGCCTGGTTCCGATCCACGTCTGCCCTCGACCAAGTCTCTTGCCTGCTCTTCGAACCTGCTTCGTATCATCCCAGTTCCAACCCACGCCTGCCCTCGACTCTACCTTTACCTGAACTATGCTCAGGTAACATCTGGGGTCCTCCGAAGACAGGAGCGGAGCCAATCTTTGGTTAATTCATTTTTTTAAGTAGACAGGAGCGGAGGATCCGTCGGATAGACCACACCGTGCCCTCAGGCACGAGGAGGGAGCCCGGAGGCGGGCAACAGCGCAGACGAAACCACAGGTTTGATTTTTGAGATGTGGAATGAAGGATGGATCCAAAGAGTGCGGGGAAGGTGGAGACGAACCACAGCATGTTTCAGGACCTTGGAGATTGGGAAGGGTCCGCTGAATCGGGGGCCAGTTTCCGACAGTCCTTCCTGAGAGGAACGTCCGCTGTGGACAACCAGACCCTCTGGCCCACCCCATACGTGGGAGTCAGAACATGCCACCTGTTGGCCGAGCGGGCGTTGACCTCCGAGGCATGAAGCAAGCGACGTCAGACTACCAGCCGTGGCGACATCTGAGGGTGGCGGTCTGGGCAGAGGGGGTGCGGGCCAGAGGTTCCTGGAGGGAGGAGAATGGGGGTTGGTAGCCATAAACCGTAAAAAAGGGGGACACATCTGTCACGGCCGTGGGCAGGGAGTTCATGGCGTGTTCTACCCAGGGTAGATTCTGGGACCAGGCCGTGGCGTCGTCCAGGCACAGCAGACGAAGTTTGGCCTCTACCTCCTGGTTGTGCCTCTCAGTCTGCCAATCAGTCTGAGGGTGGAAACCTGAGGAGAGGCTCACCTGGATACCCAACTGGGTGCAGAACGATTTCCAGAATCTGGAAACAAACTGTGGACCTCTGTCAGACACAATGTCCTGGGGCAGGCCATGAAGGCGAAAGACCTCGCGAGCCAGGACGTCAGCCATGTGAGAGGCGGTAGGGAGCTTTCTGAGGGGTACCAGGTGGACCATCTTTGAAAAGCGGTCAACGACTGTGAGGATGACTCTAAGTGTTGGATGGGGGCAGACCGGTGATGAAATCCATACTGATGTGGGACCATGGTCGATGTGGGATGGGTAGAGGACGGAGAAGACCGGCAGGGGATCGATGAGATGACTTGGCCCTGGCACAGATGGAGCAGGCTTTAACAAAGTCCTGAGTTTCCTTTGAGAGCGTGGGCCACCAAAATCTGCCCTTGACCAGATTGATGGTGCGGGTGATACCTGGGTGATAGAACAAGTGAGAGCAGTGGCAAAACTAGAGTACCTCAGTCCTCATGTGGTTAGGGACATAAAGACGATCCACCGGGCACTGAGAGGGGGCCGGGTAGAGATGTTTATGGGCCATTCCCATCTGTACCGGGTCAGCCCGGGCCGGGTAGCCCCAGTCGGCCCCAGCCTGGCCCGGTTGATTCCACACATCCTTGCCTTAAGCCCATGTGGGCTGATTCTATCCACCAATCAGAGGCTTGCTCTAATGGAAGGTGTGAATTTGGTGTCAGCAGTGGGTGTGTTGGCCCTGGTCGGCCTGAAGCAGACCCCTTCCAGAAGAGGGCTGAGAATGAGCCTTGGTTGGCCCGGAAAAATACCAGGCCACCCAGATATGTAAACAACCCACGCTACCCGGCCCGACCCGGTACAGATGGGAATGGCCCATTAGTCTCCTGTAGTTTACCTTCCAGCGCGAGGTGGGAAGCATCCAGCAGGACCCCCTCAGGCAAGATGGTGGAATCGGTGGGAGGCATGACCTTGGAGGACTGGGTTTCCATAATGCGTGACAGGGCATCGGGTTTGGTGTTCTTGGACCCAGGTCTGTATGATAGGGTGAAGTTAAAACAGCTGAAGAACAGGGCCCACCTGGCTTGTCGAGGATTGAGGCGCTTGGCAGTTTGCAGGTATTCCAGGTTCTTGTGGTTGGTCCAGACGAGGAAGGGGTGATGGCTCCTTCCAACCAGTGCCTCCATTTGTCAAGGGCGAGCTTAACTACGAGCAGTTCTCTAACCCAGATCCCACATCACAATTCCTCTCAGCTGGTGAGAGGGTCTTAGAGAAGAAGGCACAAGGATGGATCTTGTCGTCACCTCCGCGTTGGCTCAGAATGGCGCCCACCCCGACTCCTGAGGCATCCACCTCCACGATGAACTGACATGAGGGGTCAGGAGGGTGGAGCACCAGAGCAGTGGTAAACAGATCCTTGAGTTGGAGGAAGGCTTGGTTAGCAGCAGAATTCCATGTGAAACTGACCTTGCTTGAGGTGAGGGCGTGAAGGGGCGAGGCTATCTTGCTGTAATCCTTGAAGAAGCGTCTGCTGCTAAGTTGGAGAGAGAAGAGCAACATGCAGCAGCGACACTGCTAACTCAGCTGAGTGTAACAGAGACATATGAACGACAGCAACAAAAAGAAAGAACTAAATCATAAGGTAGTGGAATTCATATGCCTTGACCATCGGCCGCTTTCTGTTGTCGAAGACATCAGATTTAAACGCCTCATTAACTGCTTGGATCCACGCTACACGCTGCCTAGTCGTAAATATTTCACCAATGAATTCCTGCCAGAGCTATATCATAGTATATACAGTCAAATCCAGAACCTTATCCAGGATGACTAAATTGTGTCAGTCGGCTTTACGAGTGACATTTGGAGTTCTAGTGTGAGTACCATGTCGATGCTGAGTCTAACTGCACAGTTTATTGATCAAATGTTGGAGCTGAGGAGAGTTGTGCTTCACTCACAAGAGTTTCCTTGATCACACACGGTGGCTGCCATCGCTAAAGCTTTCACAGACATGTTCCAAACATGGGGGATCCCAAAGGAAAAAGTACACGTTATCCTACGGGATAATGCGAGTAACATGGCGAAGGCTATGAAGGATGCTGGTTTACCAAGCCTGCCGTGTATGGCACACACACTCCAGCTTGTTGTGAATGAGGGTGTTTTGGCACAGCGTGGAGTAATTGATGTCATCGCAACTGGGCGATGCATGGTCGGTAATTTTAAGCATTCTCCGCTTGTGTACTCCAGGCTATACGACATTCAGAAAGAAAGCCAACCCCAGCAGCTCAAACGGCTACAACAGGATGTCCCCACACGGTGGAACAGTACTGTTGCTATGCTAAAAGGTTTAGTGGAACAGAAACGTGCTCTTTGCAGTGTAGAGATTAACTACATACTAGAATCAACACTGTTTGCTATCAGTTGTTAGATTAGGAGGATGACCGAGCATATTAGCATATGAGCTTATATCATGTATAAATATCCAAGATACTTATATAATCAATAGAAGCTCATACACTATTCACTTGGTCTATTTTTAATCCAAGGATTAATATTTAATTTAGATAATTAAATTTAATAGCAAAAGTTTATTTTGAATCAGAAGCTAGGAATCTTTGCTTTTCAATAACCAGAAATATAATCCCATTCTGTGTTTCAATTCAATAATGAGACAAGTTTAAAAATGAAGAAATTTTATTACTAACAATTTTAAACAAAGATTTGAACGACAATTATAAACGACAATTCATGGATGACAATTTAATGACAATTTTTAACAGCTTTGATATTAAACTTGTTTTAAAAGGCAAACCTGTGGCTGGATGGAAGCTAAATTGGAAATACGAGTTTGGATGCGTGAATGGATCTCTCAGAAGGTTTCTTTCAGAGAGATGAAAGCGTTCTGGATGGAAATGATGTTTTGCAGCTAACTGCTCTTTACTGTTGAGAACAGCATCAAACGTCATCTGTCGAA